TCATTTTCAAATGATTCTCATTCGAGTCTGTTTCCCATTCTCATGTTTGGGCAACAGGATAGTTACAGGTTTGTTATCCTAACGCTTGCCTTATCAAAAACGAATAGCATATCGTTTTGTTCCTTCAAAATTGAATATAGTAACCATATTGTCACTTTTATACTTAATTCAAATGCTACAAATAAAGGTAAAGCGAGGATCGTTTTCAAAGTCTTTTAGAAAAATAACATTTTCAAAGGGTCGATATTTAAGTTTTCGTGTTATAAGTTGAAACTAGCCTTTCAATAAAAAGAGGAAAAATTACTTTAATATCCCCTACTAGACTACATTGAAACAGTATAGAAATCTGGCCTTACTTATTGTTAAAGTTGATGCTAAATGTATAGAAGTTTAACAAGGTTATTAACAATTTGGCTATATAGGTACATGACACAGAGTTTATTTAAATGCTACGCATAATATTGCAGATGGGGTCAGTAATAAGAACTCCTTCAGTATCTATTGCATATATATATCTATGCGCTCGGGTTATATATAGACATTACACACAATACACATACTTGTATGCTATACAAATTTTCAAAGTGGGATGTTCGAACAACAAATATTTGAACAAATCTCATTACGCCTGAAGAAGTGCCCCCTTGTTGACAATGACCGAAGCTAGACGTCATAAGACACAGTTTTTCAGACTTGTAGGATAAAACAGGTAATGATTCATGGACAATGACCTTGAATATAGAGCCTCCTATATATAACACGAGTGTACCTAGTGGTCTATTCATAAGAACACATAAACCTACAAAGATTGTGCAAAAGACACACAAGTGAATAGCGCCATTTAATGATTTAAACTGAGATACACTAGAGTCAAACAATGAATTAAACTGCATTATACAGCTGTTTTGTCCTTCTAGAACTCGTCAGTGGTGCTACATCATACAGCTGTATCGTCCTTCTAGGATTCGTCAGTAGTGCTACATCATACAGCTGTATCATCTTTCTAGGACTTGTCAGTGATGATATGAGGGTCTACAAGTGGAAGTCTAGGAGGCGACTAAGAAAATTCTAAGGTGATCAAAAGAAAAGTCAAAACCTAGACGGGGAGGAGCAGCAGCCCCATAATTAGATAAATTTCGTAACTTTCATACATCAGATAATTTTAGAATAGCGTTAAGTATTCTCCTAAAAAGAAACTACACTGCTCCTGCTCATCAAAGTTGGAAAACATGATATAGTCATTGACGTCAATAATGTAAACTACCTGATCAAACAACAAATCCCTACTTTTCTACACCTTTGGACATAGTTTAAGGAAATGAAGAATTATATTGTCTGACTTCTTTCCACAGAACCGACATATCAACGTCTCTGTCACATAAAGAAACGACATTTTCACCATTTCAGTTATTTCCCAAGCAACCACAGATGATTTTAGCTTACTTAGCTGCAACACCGGATTTACTCCCTAATAAGAATGAATCTTTGCGTCATTGTCGATCGTAAAAATCGTTCAAAAACGTTTCAGAAAACGACTCTAGCATGCTTTGGGAGGTACGAACTCGTTGAATATGAAATCATTCCCAAAAAAGAAACTATTCCAAACGTTTGAAAATATGAAATATGTCAGGTATGAAACCTATTCGTACGTTATAGCAAGGTCCATATATAGCATCCAAGAGACGTACAAGGAATATTGCCTTCCATATTTATGAAATGCTACCGTTGCATAACTTGTTCCAAAACATTAACTACTGTGTTTCCATTCTGTATACCAAGTAATTGAGTGGCTGCCAAATTTGCGGCGATACAGCATAGTTGGTAACACTATAAGTTTTACAATGTTTGCATTTATTAACGGATGCATTCCATTTTGATGGGTCCCGATTCCTACTAATGAGTTCAGTGATTTCCGCCCCTTTTCACTCGCTTCAATAATTGAAGAAGTCGAGTTGAGATCTGAGGTAAATCCTACACCTGCATACGTTTTTGTTGTTGTTCACTGTATTTCCTTATTTCCAAGAATTAACCTCCGAAAGGGAGATCCTACACGTGATCGGCTAGCGGAAATTACCATCAAAGACCTTTTGTTGTATGTAAGTCTCCACTAACAAGAATATTTGTAAACGATTTCCAGTTTATTTTGTAGCAACTGCATTGATGCAGCAAGAACCAGTGAGTCATCAGCCAGTAATATACAGGGTATGAATGTTGCTTATGCGGAGACCAAAATGTCCAGCATCAAGTTGCAATGGAAGGTCATATATCATTACAAAATGCATCACGATGACAACACGCGACCTTGACCGACTCCTTGCAGGGTTGGTTACTGATCACTACTATGCGTCTCATAAATTGTCCGAGAAGATTTCTACGATTGTTAAAATCAACATAATTTTTTTTAACCAAATTCTTTAGACAAATGAGCATTGCAATCACCTAATATTATGACAACACCATTTTCCGAGTATTGAACATAAATACAGAACAGAAGTTCTAAGCTTTCAGAATAAGCTACCAATGACGAATTTGATGACGGCATTAGGACTCCAAATATATAAATATTTATGTCAGATTCACGTACACATAGCCCAAATATTCGATCATCTCCCTCCTGAAGTAAGGGCGTAGCTTGTAAACATTTCCTCCAAATGAGCGCGACGCCGCCGTACCCACGACCTTTACGTTTCGATGGGTCAACGTTTATTCGAGAATCAGATCTGCCGTAAGCGTGAAAACTATTGTCGATACTGTGCAAGAATTCTTACTGTTCTGGCATCAACCAATGTCCACAGACGAAAGCCAAATCGCTATCGCTATCGCTCCTGCCGGATAGAGGTGCTTCCCATGATACAACATCATTTCTCGAGCGCAACTTCAGCTTTCGTTCTAATGCTGTTATCTGATTATCCTTGAACTTAAGATCGCTTTGCAGTTCCGAGACTGCACACTTAAGACTATTCATTTCCCGTCGGCTTTCAACTGTTAAGAATGACACACTTTCCATAATCTCATTTCTCATACTGACAATGAGCCGCATTATATCAGCGTATTGGTTGACTTCATCACTAACGATGTCTGTCTGACTACCGAATAGCGAGTTGTCATCGTTACCGTTCAGTGACGCGTTGGCTTTACCTCCTTTGATTGGTGACATCTTCAACAACGGTTATGTCATCCATGTTGTCACCAGGGGTTCTGTGCCTATAACACATGATATTTTGTATGTCATTTACACCGACACTACGTATCGATATAGCTGGTATATATCTTCTAGATATTTTTCATGGCCGACGAGTGCCCTGGGTTTGTTCTCCTTACAAGTGTGCCTATAGGGGTTTCGATCCGTTTAGTCAGTGACATATCGTATACCTATTGCCTCACAAAAGCAAGATTGTCAATTTTCTTTTATACAGATTATTCACTTTTTTAACTTAACACAAGCTTTGTAAGGAGTGCATAGATATTTTTGTCTATTTGTGTTGCGGTCATATCGTCTTTGTCGGATAGACCGTCCTGCTGCGATTGTGATGTGTCCTTCCCCGGTGTACTAATTTTAGATGTATTATACAATTCAAACGCTTGGTGAAATATGTATCCTTGTTTAAGTATAACAGTACTTATCCATTATTAGGCAGTACAAGTTATTCCCCGTGAGTAACAGAGACCGGCCAAACATGTACCCGATAGAGCATGACGAAACGTCGATCGTAAGTATATCACATGTGAATCATAAGTTATCACAAGTAAGGTTCAGTTATAGCAAAATGCAATATATATACAGGCCGGAAGTCTCTTTATTGCGCCGCATAAACAGCGAAGTGCATCATTGGTGAAATAGAGTTGTAGTGATTTACCAATATTTGCCCAGTACGGTTTATCCACCGTGTGTAATGGCCGAACCGCAGTAGAGCGTGACAACATGTCGATCGTGAGTTCGATTTCACTTACAGGTAAATGTGTGTGCATGTATATATATACAATACAATAGCGCAGCTCAATTTCAAACTATTCTGCCAAATACAGCACATTCACCTTTACCTAGCCTCTTCCATTCCTAACCGAATCGCTGTCTCTGTGCAACAACTGCACATTGTCGGGAACGACAGAAACACACAAAATTTCACAATGTTCACCGCTCTCTGTATTGAAACCTTACCTCTGACGACGCCATTTGCTATTTCTCCAGTGTCTCCAGTAATAACAAATATATTTTACTCGCGTGTCTAATATGTTTGTGTCTTTATACTTAAATGTTAAACACATTTGGGAAGTATATGTTTGTAACTGAAGAAACTATGAAATATCTTCTAAATATCCAATACACAGTAGACTAAGATATTACAGAACTCAAAAAAGGAAACAACTGCCCTTTTTATGTTATTGCTAATCGTGTTGTTACCTGATATCCATATGATATTAAACTAAATAGACGAACTGAAAAGGTAATCAATTACTTAAGTTATGCCAATACAACAAATATACTATTGACATGATAGAATGTTTACTGATGCGTAATAAAGATATTTGGAAACACTACTTGGTGGGGAAAAGTACAAAATATTGCACAATACTGAAATTTATTGAGAGAGATTCAGGACACTTCACGTACACCACTTGTTGTAGTCCTATCCTATTCAATGCCTTTTGCACCTGTTGAAGTGTTCTCCCAAGCATTGTTAGCTTGTAGACACGAAAATGTCATTTTGTTTGATATATTAAACGATATCAAGTTTACTTTTTTACTTTTCTTTCGTCATAAACGTTTATATGATCTAAAAAAGGCATGGACACAATATCAGAGTACATAAATATCATATCGAGGTCTGTTTTCTTATCGGTAGGTATTACGACAATAATACTTAAATAGAAAAACTCCTTTTAAGGCTGTCTACATATATGGGTGACGTCATGTGACACAGTCTCCTGGATAGTATATAAAGACGGCAACCTCTAGCGTATTAGTTCCCAATACAGCATTGCGACACCTGACATCAACAATGTCGCGCTTATTGAAGCTTGTTTTATTACTGGCTATTACAGTACCCATCATAGATGGTCAGTACTTCGGTAATGTTAACAACACGAACACTTATTTTCCACGTGATATCTACACAGACGGAATTATGAAGTTTGCCACATCCATTTCGTCCGGAATGAACATCACAAATCAAGTAAAGGCTGCGTTCAAACTTCTAAATGCAACTTCCAACATTATTGATCGGATTGGTTTCAATGCCACTTTTCGATTCCTTGAACTTGCACAATCTAAAAATATATCGTTTCTTGGAGTGGATAATGAGAATTTAGACATGATTTACAATGTTCTGAAATTCCTTCAATTTCTCTCCACTATTGAAGATACTTCATCAACACCACCTGACTTCGAAGACATTATAACAGGTATGGGAGCAGGATTTACAGACGTAACTCTTCCGATACTTGAAAATGTTCTTAACAATTTGACATTGACTGCCGGTGAAAATTTTACGGTAATGTTAGCCCAAGTCCTTGGCAGTGGTTCCCAAGATCTTCAGTCATTTCTTCAACAAATCAACATGACTTCGATAACTGCAATGTTAACCGAAATTCTCGGAAGTGGACCCAGAGACCTACAGACATTTCTTGAACAAGCCAACTTGACTGCCATGAATTTTGATCCCATGGCTATGCTGACAGGTATGGGTGTCTCTCCTCTCTGTCTTCAGGATCTAGGACTGATGATGACTGCACTTACCCAAGGTTCAATGGAAGCTATCCAAAGTAAGTTGTACTAAATATAAATACTTTTGAAATAAGATTTGTTGCACGTTTTAATGTTTCTAATTTTTGATGAAATGAAAGGCGAAGAACAAGTTTAACGAGCATTTGAAATCTGGTTTTGATATTATGTTATAGCATCAATACTTTTACCGAGGGTTTTATCAGCTTGAGATGATTTGATACATTGATATAATATTTCTTTAAGAAAGAAGCCAACAATCCTTAATTCACTTCTAAAAGCATGCAAGTTTACAAATGTTTATTTGATATGCCGCCTTATTACCTCTAGCATATAAGATGGCTTATGTGTTATCACCACTTACTTATGAACTTTCTATTAGCATTGTATCATCCCATATTAAATGAATGTTGAACCTCAATGAGCCAATACGTACATTACCCTTTACAGTGTTAGACAGTATGGGGAAGATTCGAGCAGGTATTCTTGAAGGAAATGCGTATTTCCCGGGAATGTATGACCAATGCCTAAACATTCAACCTTCGGAGTTTTCCACGCGATACTGTATGATCCACTTACCTATCTCCATTCAGGTATTTAACAATGATACATGGAATACATAATTACAATTACAGCTCCATCCATCATTCACTTTCATATACAATCCCCAGAGATATTTCAGTCACTCTACTTGAAGTAGAATATCAAATTTCTTCTCTTCTGTACGGGCAATTTAGTGTTGTTCTCTCATATTGACAATCACGATCATACCTGTCTTTTAGGAGAGCTTAGTCTTCAATGTTGACTTTAAAGATAATCCAATAACATGTATTTTCAATAGACAGAAAATTTTGAAATTTGTCGCCACTGAAGGGAAACTGAATTGTTTTACCTTAATAAATGTTTAATGTGATTTTGTTTAGAATTCAACTTAATTATATTTGTCTGAATTACATATGAAAAACAACGAGACTGTGGAATGACTGATCGGGTAACCATCTAGATTCTCATATTTGAAAGTGACAAAATTTTACAAATACTTTAATGAGATAAATTTTAGATAATGGAAATGTATGCTATGTTTAAAATTCAGTTTAACATTTCAAATCCATCATTCTTCATTTTACAGGGTTTCCCACTGGTTTTAAAAGAAGGTGTATGCGTACCAAGTAAATGTGGAGAAAGTGACATTCTAATTTTGACCAATGCTTGTAAGTCTTCATAGCTTATAGTTGCCTTACTTCATTGAGTCAAGAGTTTCTAGAAATTATCTGTTGTTTCCGAAGAAAGATAAACAGAGAATTATTCAAATATAGAAAATTCTACAGTGAGCTATCTGATGATGGTGATTGCCATTTTTGTTTGATAGTGAATTATAAATTAATGCCAATAATTCAAGTATAATTTTGTTTGTTTGGTAATGTTAAATTTTATTTTCGATCATAAACATAATTTATCGAAACACGAATCTATAAATAATTACTTAATGCTGTATATTCAGCTCCTTTAACGAAAGGAATAAATATGGTAAATTTCAGGAAATTCAACGTCATCGCAATCGCCATGACCATGTTAGAAAGGGGAACATTTGGTTGTTGGTGACAGAAACAAACATGAATTATGACAATTATTGCTGTAATGTAGGATGATTTTTAAAAAATGTACTTATAGTCTGATATATTGACGATTAGACTTCCAACACACCTTTACAACTGAAGTACCGGTTATGCCTAGGAGGTCAAACTCGTTTTAAATACTGAAATATTTATCACCATTATCTATATTTTTAAGTTAGTTTTTTTAATCCAACCATCACGATTCATCACCTTTCACCAATAAATGGTCGCCTCAAAGAATAATATTGATATGTTTACCTTTGCCAAAATCCATTTCGTCTTATGTTAATACCATATGATTCATATATGTACACTGCTCTCAAGAGTCTTCTCACATTGTATGATTAAACTGAGGTGTTACCCTGCCACGGCTATATGGAAATATTTCGCCCGTGTCTTGCTTTATATTCATAACAAGACTATTTGACTTAAACGCTTTAATGGATAGACCGTGTTTAACGTAGAAACCATAATGGTTCGCTGTGAGGATGTCTGTTCTCGTTAAATTTCCAATGGTTGTCGATGATAAATAATGTATTTTAGTTTAAATCAATATACAATCGGTATGGAACAGCCTAAATGACAAAGCATAGATCTGTCTCCCTATGTGATATTCGATCTTTATAAATGTTTTAGGCAAATATGCCAGATGAATTAGCAATCAGGCAACATGGTGTTTGTATTCAAATTTTATTTCTAACAACAATAAATGAAAAGATAATACCAACATGTCAACATTATCATAATCCAAAATAAAATGTAATAAATCCAGGGGAAAATATGGAAAAAATCAAGATTTACCCTGAGAATCCTGAAAAAGTACAAGGAGGATAAGACCAGGCGTTTCGGAAAGTAAGCGTCAAATACCGAATGTTTTATATTTCATAAGTGTTGTCCACAATACCGGCCGGTGACTCGCCTATCTATGCATACCAAACCACCTGCAGTCTTTTGGAAACTACATACGACACCAATGCGATCGTTGGGATGTAAGTGTCCGCAGAGCTTTAGTTATATTGTTATACAGAAATAAAATATTAGAAACACACTCGCATGTTGACATTCAGACTATGAATGACCCATTAAAATTAATTGTTATAACTTTGTTTTTTACCTGTTTCTTATCATCTAAACAAATCCGTTATTGCCTGAAACTGTGTTAATTTGTATCGATCAAAACTGTTTCTTTCTCTTTGTCAATGTTGTTGTGATGTTGGTTGTAACAATTATTATTGTTTGTAGGAGTATATGTGGTTTCTTCGTGGCCATGATGATAGTATCAACAGCATTTGACTTACTGCGTGGATACTTCACCAGAAATAAGGCAGCTGCTGAAACAAAGGAACAAAAACCAAAGACAATTCATGACGTGCAAGCCCCCATACCTGAAGCGAAAGAGGACGATAAGCAGGGCGAATTCCCCTCTATTATCTATAAGATTAATTCGGAGGAGTACAAGGCTTCATCAGCAGCAGAAGAGGGCGTTCCCAAGATCTATCCCACTGCTCCTATCGAAGAAACTGAAGTCCCGCCGAAACAAACACAAGTACATAGCGATGGTGCGTTTTCATTCTTTATAACCTTAATATTTAAAGCAATGTGTAAGTCAAATAATGTTATCAAATGACAACGTAAGGACTATTAAAATGCTGAAATAAAACTTTATCAAGGTCATTTTATCTACAATTTAAAACCATTGTAAATATAGTATAAATAATATAACTATATGTGACGAATATTGAATAATTTTATAATATATTGTCTCCAAAAAGGAGGAAATAGTAATATTTTCAGCCAAAGTTTTACCAGAAATAGCATGTTCGATTGAATAAGTCTATTTGAAACAGATGGATAAAAAATTATCAATATTAAGATCAACGCATACAAATTGCAATATTGTCAAATGATGCATGAATTTGATTTGATTTTCTTTTTTGAAATCATTTTTGTTCACATAATGCCAAATTGGCCTTGATATAAATGTTTGAAATGGAGTTGTCAATATTGATCTATTTCATATCTAGGTATTCTTGTCAAGCTTTTACTGTCATTCTCCGTATGGACCAACGGAAAAAAGCTTCTAAATGCAGAACAGGGTGGGGCACTTGGAGCTGTGAATGGTATCCGGTTCCTGAGCATGTCGTGGGTAATACTTGGACACACATATTCCTTCTCCATCACTTTTATTCGTAAGCAATTTGCAATATTCCATTCTTTTAATGTATCTAAAAACCATATTTCCAATTATTGTAATGTACAAAAAAGTTTTAAGGTAAATTAGTGACTTTGCATGGATGACGTATGTATGATAATGTATATGATATTTTTATTTTAATCTTATTAATGATCGATCACAAACTCTAAATTTTGCAAACGATTATTCAGTTGAATGGAAATAAAAGTACAGCTTTTCAAATATGCCGCGTTGTTCCCACATTAGCCTGTTTTCGGTTGCTTTTGTCGTTTACATGTGCAAAATGACCAATTATTATAGATGGCTTTTATATGCAAATCCCATCCTAATTGTGTTTATTCACAAGTAGTTAGTCCTGTTTTCCGAAAAAAAATGGATGTTTGCATCATCATCCATTGATATGCCTGCAATCAAATGACCGTTTTTAATTGGCATCAAGATATCTATTACTATCCTGACCTCTGACGTCTCTATTCATTGTGTGATTTATTTTTCCAGAGAATCCGTTGACGTTCTATAGTGGTATGTTGTCTCGCTGGAGTTTTATGGTTATCATGAATGGACTGATGTCGGTAGACACCTTTTTTACTATGAGGTTTGTAAATATTTGGATTGTCAATGTTTATACGTATAAAATATAGTAGAATAAGGTATATACTTTAAAATATGCAAATTTATGATATTGATTAAAGACAAGTTCATACTCTCATACTCACTTCTCGAGAAGAAAAAAAAAAACAATTATCATAGAGACCGAAACAAAATATGTTTATTGTACATACATGAAAATGAAGAGGTTAACAACACTTCACGAAGTTCTACATAGAGACCGAATCGTTACACCATAATATGTTTACTGTACACACGTGACAATGAAGTAGTTGACAACACTTTCACGAAGTTCTCCATAGAGACCGAATCGTTACACCGTAATATGTTTACTGTACACACGTGAGAATGCAGTAGTTGACAACACTTTCACGAAGTTCTACATAGAGACCGACTCGTTACACCGCATTATGTATAGTGTACACACGTGACAATGCAGTAGTTGACAACACTTTCACGAAGTTGTACATAGAGACCGAATCGTTACACCGCATTATGTTTACTGTACACACGTGACAATGAAGTAGTTGACAACATTAAAAAAATAAGATTTTAAATGGTTAATGTGAATATAAGGAATGGTCGCATATCATGTTGATTTCATAGATGAGTGTAAGTAACTTCATTTTATTTATACAGCGGGCTACTCGTGACGTATGTGGTTCTGAAGGAAATGAAGAAAGAAAAAGGACGAATCAACTGGTTTATGTTCTACTTCCATCGATTTTGGAGGTAGGTCATCAAAATGAATTGAAATAATTATCGTCGGAAATAACTTCGAAATGATTTTTATTCTTCATTAAAGCCCAAATTATTTTCTTATACATCATTCTTGAATATTTGGAAAATTACACAGCGCTTATTTTCCATACGTGAAACAATACCTTATATGCTTTAGACCAAATGGAATAAGTGAGACGTGCACAGCGGGTGTCGTCGGTGAAGAAGAGCACCTACATTTAGTTTTAATATTTCTGTTTTCCATTTTCCATAATTCTGTTTTTGTTCACATTTTCATATTTTGTGCAATGGAGTAAAATAATACCTTAAACGGGGATTTTGATCGGCATCTCTAGTTAATTTTGTGAATCTTGTGTAAAGGTCTCCAAATCGTTTTTAACAGGCTCACTCCACCTTATATGTTAATATTGATGATCAGTGCAACTCTGTTCCGTTTCCTTGGTGATGGTCCCGAATGGCCAAGTAATGGACTTGAAGGCGAAAATTGCGCAGAATCATGGTGGACAAATCTTTTGTATGTGAATAATTTCTTCAAGTTGGACAAGCCGGTAAGTTCTGAAGTGCTTGATCCCGTTGGAAATTGAATTATCAAAGTCAGAATAGGATAACAACAATAATTTCAATTGCCACAAGATAAAGTGAAAACAACTTTAACGATAAAACTGCAGTTTGTTAATAAATTAACTCCACGCTGACTTCAACAGCGATTTGTGCTAATGAATCGATGTCTTTTTACTTCTATAATTCTAGTGCTTCGGGGTGTCGTGGTATTTAGCCAATGATATGCAGTTTTACATTCTCAGCCCGCTACTGCTAGTGCCTCTGTACTTGTAAGTATAATGATACTCTCTCTTATGTGTCAGATATTAATTATTATATTCACACTCATTAGTCATTATCTTTGTTTCTGTTTCTCTCTTGATTTAAACGCTTAAACTGAGAACGAAAAAACTTTTCTAAAAGATATATCAATAACATTTGATGACTCTTGTTATATATGTCCCATAATGCAAAGCTCATCCCTGCATTGTTTTTGATGTACAAATATCATATGTGTAAATGCTGATCTTTGATATGGAATTATACTATTGGTCACACTAGTTTAACCCGATTTGACAACAACGTCACGTCATGGCTTGAAATGGCGCAACAAAATGGAAGCCTCCTATTTATTTGTTCTCCGCAGTTTGACTATAAAACTGTAACTTTTCTGAGTTGTGTGATAGAAATATCTTTTTGTTTGATATGGAAATCTGAAATGAAAACTAATTTCCGTTCTCTATGTTATAGCACTGTAAACTATATAAATACTTTACATACTATATACATAGTTATGAATTTCACTCTAAACTGTATATCTAATTATCCATTTAACTATAATGGATACTGAAAACTATAAATTTCTCTGCGTCTTTCTTATTTAGCTTCCGGAAGATAGGAGTTTTGGTGTGTGCTGTGTTCCTCCTCGGTGTGACTGTCACCACTGCCGTTATCACCGCCGTGAACAACATTCCTATTACTGTCGCTGATGCGTAAGTATTGTTATCCATCGTGTTCTGCATTTTACTTATTTCTCAGAGAGATTGGAGATAAAGAGGTAGTGATTCTTCTGAAACAGATCCAGTGATAATTTGGTCGGAAGTATAATAAGTATATCAAGTTTAAAAACTATGGTGAACTATACGCCAGTCGGTAAAACCAAGAATGTGTAATATCATGTACAAACGCGTGAATTCAATCAAACAATGAAGAAGCGTCCTTTCAACAGGTGCTCGAAGTTAAATGGAAAGAACGAAATAGCTTGAAAATGAAACACAATTATTATAGACTGGTTAAATGTAACATACTATACAATACCTATGTCTGTATGTTCAGTATTTGAACGTAACGAATTATCATTATTACGAAAATTATAATTCATCGAAATCTTCAATACATAATTGTATTGAAGATTTCGATGAATTATAATTTCGTAATATAGATAATATCGTAATATAGATACGAACTTTACTGTAAAATCACATTTTTTCGTGTGGGTTTTATTTTGAATACATGGGTACTCTCAATCCACAAAACCATTTGTCCGCGAATTCATATAACAAGTTGATTAACGAATTACAAGTATAATCACGAAAATAAGTTCCAACGAAAATGCATATATTTGTAAATTCGAGTCCCTCGAAAAAATATGATTTGGCAGTCTTTTAGCTCTACCTGTCCTTAGTTGAACTTGTATGGTCTTTCAGAGAGAGCTATGAAGATTTTATGAATCTGTATTACGTTAAGCCGTACTGTCGCATGGGGCCTTACATCGTCGGTATGATCACTGGATATTTTCTCTACGAAAAAGGATTGAAAGTTAAAATCAACAAGGTTTGTTTTAAATATTTCTTAGATATTATGAATTGTTCATGGTGAATGAGTACCAGAATTAGATGATTTCCTTTCCGCATAAATAAGATTATTTGTCCTCACAAGGATATATCCATTGTTTTACCTTGAAACTCATTATCTTTCTGGGAGACAGATCATCATGAATTATTTACCGCATAATCTTCAACGTAAACAAATAAAATGTAATGTTTTCTGTAATAATGATAATATGTATTACTTTCTCATGTTAATGTCACGCGGGATATAACTACACGTATGTGAAAAGAATCTTTAACGATATTCCATTTTATTTCAGTACGTCAACCTCTTCATTTGGATAGTAGCTACAGTTGTCGCTTGTTTGGTTGTGTACGGTATTTATGATGCTATAAATGGAAAACCTATTGATGTTGGAGTTGCTGCCCTTTACAATTCAACGTCAAGGACCTTGTGGGGTGCATGCGTTAGCTGGGTGATATTTGCATGTGCTACTGGAAATGGAGGTACAAAATAGTTGAATATTTTCTTCTATACACAGACCATTATACGGAAAAGATACTGAATAACTGATGTACTATGATAACATTTCCAAATCATTTATTGTTATATTGGCAAAAGTGTTTTACAATATTTCCTAAATCCTTTCCACTTGGAAATTTGTTTGTTTCTACATTTTACCTGGAATGAAACTTTGAGCTGATCTTCAAGTATCGTCCTTTAAAACACTACAAATTATGAAAGGAGATCAAAATATAATGATACAAACACACAGCTTATCATCATGATATTTGATATCTATTATTGATATTTCTGACAGGTTTCGTGAATACAATTTTGTCATGGAAGCCATTTATTCCATTAGGAAGGTTGACATATTGTGCTTATCTCTGTCACATGATCATCATGTACATGAATCTGTTCTCCGCAAGACAACATTTTTATGCGACCGATAAAAATTTCGTAAGTATTAATTAACATTCTCTGTGTTTATAATCCGAAATGTTAAAAATACTATTCTCATAAACAATTTTATTTTGTATAAAACAATACAATGTATTATTTGTATTTCAGATTTCAAAATGAACATTTGATATGACATATTTCTCATCGCCGTTGTATAATTACACATCAGAACACTATTTATCCTTTATAATGGTAATCTATCATAAACATCCCCGGTTTGTAAGTAGTATATGGAATCCCGTCTTTTCCCCACAGATTTATCTATTCCTTGGATATATGGTGATGACCTTTATGGTTGCGTTTGTCCTCTCCCTGGCATTTGAAGCGCCAATGATGGCATTGGAAAAGGCCATATTCCGACGAGGTGATGGGAAAAGGAATGTCAAATCAAGAAAGTGAAAGATCGTTAGAGGAAGACTGTTACTCTCCGTGCTTACCCATCATGCTATTGATATCTAATGATGAACAATAAGATAATAATACAAACACACGAAAGCACCTTTTCATTTATTCAACTTTATCACTCAATATTATTTTCATAGACTTATACGTTTTTCTCCTTTTAACAAATACGGATTGAAATAACAAAACTGAGTTACAGATATAATAGATATATAGAAATATCTGTTTATTGATTCCGATAGAAAAAAAATTGCTTCAAGCACAAGATAAGAATGCAAAGAATTGAAGCGTTCAAAAAGTTTAGAATGTATTTTTGTCACTCTCTTCTGATTATAGTTGTATTGTTTTATCGTATGTCGGTTCTTATTTCTTCCATTGTGACATCACAGTGCCACATGGAGGCAGTGTGCTTTCAATTAACAATTTTTGAACGGATTATTTTTTCCGGAAATTTTACTTAATGTTGAAAATTATTCATCCCATGCAATAGATTATTATTTGTGATTTCATTGATAGTTGACAATCTGGTCAAAATATTTTTTCTTTGTTTTTCTTTGTGTAAATCTTGAATTCAAGCTACAAACAGTGCATCCGGTAATCAACATTTAAACAAACAGAAAGAGTATACGTTACCGAAATGTATGGCCACCTACTACGGTGGCGGATTGGTGATATTTTGTTGGTTCGTCTTTTCATCGCGAAAAGTCGAAAATCAAACATCTAAATCCTAGTTTTCGTCTTTCCGCCCACCAAAGAGAGAATTAACAGACCTCAATGTTCGTCCTTTCATCTTCCATCAATTAAGATTGTTGGTAATCGTCTTTTTATACACTTTTAGCAGAAAGTGTGAAACGAGTCGGATATATCTTTATCTCATTGTTACTGTATCGCCTTTTTCAAATTTGTTTTGACCTCGAGTAGCAAAAATATAGAGCTTTAAGAATAACAATCTTGTATTATTATTTTAATAAAAAAAATTCCGGAAATGCATTACTACTGTCGTATAATTAATACGCTTGATTGCTTTCTAGTAGATTTTTTTGTACAACCGTAGATTTTTGAATAGTCAACAGATGCAATCATTCATGGTTTTTAGAATATATTTTTGTGATGCGTGCAAGTATTGCAACATCAGAGTTTAAATTGACAATCCTTCATCATAATGTTGTAACGGGATGAGCATATTGTCCACTCTGATGACGGTAAAGCAACACAACACAGAGTATTTACATTATTTACAATATTTAATTACACTATACACTATTAACAATGGTTACACTTCATACACACTCTCTCTCGTACATTCAACAAGGTCATAGATTAAAGGCATAAGATATATACAAAGTAACAGTCACACTCTATAAATGGGCAGTATTCCATTATTTCCCAAATGTTCCTGCTACAGTGACACCGTATAATATGGGCTTGATATCCACCACGGAGTAAGTGTCATTACACATGTGTTGTGTGACCGTCACATAAAGATGGGAACACAACAACCAGAAAAGTTCCAGAGCTATACATTAGCCAAATGCTGAACACAAGGTGGACAGTCTATCCTCATCATAAGTGCTGGCTGTGTCCCTCCCCAGGCAACCCAGTACCCCAAAACAAAAAAAAATTACATTTAAACCTCTGGCAGTTATCCCTCTCTAATGGGTTAAACTACAATAGATATAATTATAACCCTACATCGTTATTAAATCATCCTTTACAGCAATAATATGGACATATATGAATATATATAATATGATATAATACATATTTACAGCTAAATCAACTTCAATGTAAAGTTCACTAAAGTATGCCACACGACGCCTTAATATCTGTCATGCTGGCATGCACCCGTGCATACACGTGAGTGATATAACTGTATATAGCCAAATACAACCCTTTATTATATATTATATCTATATTTACAACTACATATATGATAATAAATAATTATAATACAACCAATGTAACCTACAGGTCATGTAATGCCCTATACACCCTAAACAATACAACACGTGCACCTGTACACACCTGTGCCACGTATCGGGTGGATATCTATAAATAGACAATAATATGAAACCTCGCTGTTTATCTACACAGCAGTTGAACAACATATATAAACATATCCACATATGGGTTTGTGTGGTCGGTGTGGTCCCATAAAGGTAATATATGCCCCGGTGAGATACCGCTACCCTCACATGCTGTTTACACCGGTAGTGTCCATTGTCTCTCTCCTCTAGTATACCATGTCGCACATCCCGTGCGCGTACAACAGTCTATGCGCGCGAAATACAAATAGGGTAGTACAAAGCTATGTAACAAATGTTCATGGAGAAAAGATATGATACAATATATGCCCCAACTATGTTACTATTTTGAGATGTTATCAAGGACAATACATGTCAATTTAGCATGCACAATTTGTTAACAATTGAAATTGACTAATATATCCATCGAGGCTCCGTGAATCTATATTTATATATATGTTAAATCCTTTTATAAATTTTATAATGTAAATATCGCTATAATAAATAAAATATTTGGTTTGATTTACATGATCTTGACTTGTACATTTCTATGTGTTGTGTGAAAGTACCCATCATGATGGGCGTCATGGTATAGCGGATGGATTGGCCTTAGTTTCTTTTCTACGTTGATATTTTGTGTATTTATCTGTAATAGTTAGAATCTATTTCTGATTTACATTTACAGCAACTATCCTCAACTTTGAATGGCCAGTAAATAAGTATGGCTATAAATAGTTATTTAAAAGCAATTTTGTTCATTTTTGAAGGAGAATTGTTTCGTGCGAAACGAGAACAAAAACAATAGGCTTCATGCTCACGGGTTATCTGGACAAAGCGGAGAATATTATTATTTTGCAAATAACACTAACCAAGTTCTCAGTGCCGCCTTACTAACTTGATTTAAACCTTTAAAACTCTTCTCTAGTCCTTAGTCGTGTAACATTTTTACTGTTGTGTTGGTGAAGACTTTATGGTAATACTGCAGAATGAAGACTATACGGTCAGAATGCGGAATATATGAGTAGGATGCAGACTTTATGGTCAGGATGCAGACTCTACGGTCAGGATGCAAATTATATGGTCAGGATGCAGACTCTACGGTCAGGATGCAGACTATATGGTCAGGATGCAGACTCTATGGTCAGGATGCAGACTATATGGTCATGGTCAGGATGCAGACTATATGGTCAGGATGCAGACTATATGGTCATGGTCAGGATGCAGACTATATGGTCAGGATGCAGACTTTATGGTCAGGATGCAGACTATACGGTCAGGATGCAGAATATACGGTCAGGATGCAGACTGTACGGTCAGGATGCAGACTATATGGTCAGGATGCAGACTATATGGTCAGGATGCAGACTGTACGGTCAGGATGCAGACTATATGGTCAGGATGCAGACTGTACGGTCAGGATGCAGACTATATGGTCAGGGTGCAGACTGTACGGTCAGGATGCAGACTGTACGGTCAGGATGCAGACTATATGGTCAGGATGCAGACTGTACGGTCAGGATGCAGACTATATGGTCAGGGTGCAGACTGTACGGTCAGGATGCAGACTTTATGGTCAGGATGCAGACTGTACGGTCAGGATGCAGACTATATGGTCAGGATGCAGACTATATGGTCAGGATGCAGACTTTACGGTCAGGATGCAGACTGTACGGTCAGGATGCAGACTTTATTGTCAGGATGCAGACTCTACGGTCAGGATGCAGACTATATGGTCAGGATGCAGAATATATGGTCAGGATGCAGACTATACAGTCAGGATGCAGACTTTACGGTCAGGGTGAGGATGCAGACTATATGGTCAGGGTCAGGATACAGACTATACGGTCAGTATGCAGACTTTACGGTCAGGATGCAGACTATACGGTCAGGATGCAGACTGCATGGTCAGGATGCAGACTATATGGTCAGGATGCAGACTATATGGTCAGGATGCAGACTTTACGGTCAGGATGCAGACTATACGGTCAGTATGCAGACTTTACGGTCAGGATGTAGAGGATGCAGACTATATGGTCAGGATACAGACTTTTTGGTCAGGATGCAGAATATATGGTCAGGATGCAGAATATACGATGAAGTTGCACCTTTGGGATGCAGAATATACTATAAAAGTAGGTAGAGAGACAGCGACACATAGTATATGACAGGCTCAGTAATTAGGAAAACAATAAATAAAGTATATTAAGTAGGTAGAGACACGCCGACACAAAGTATCTGACAGTCTCAGTAATAGGGGAAAAACAAATAAAGTATATTAAGTAGGTAGAGACACGCCGACACAAAGTATCTGATAGGCTCAGTAATTAGGGAAACAATAAAATAAAGTATATTAAGTAGGTAGAGACACGCCGACACAAAGTATCTGACAGGCTCAGTAATAGGGGAAAAACAAATTAAAGTATATTAAGTAGGTAGAGACACGCCGACACAAAGTATCTGACAGGCTCAGTAATTAGGGAAACAATAAAATAAAGTATATTAAGTAGGTAGAGACACGCCGACACAAAGTATCTGACAGGCTCAGTAATAGGGGAAAAACAAATAAAGTATATTAAGTAGGTAGAGACACGCCGACACAAAGTATCTGACAGGCTCAGTAATTAGGGAAACAATAAAATAAAGTATATTAAGTAGGTAGAGACACGCCGACACAAAGTATCTGATAGGCTCAGTAATTAGGGAAACAATAAAATAAAGTATATTAAGTAGGTAGAGACACGCCGACACAAAGTATCTGATGGGCTCAGTAATAGGGGGAAAATAAAGTATATTAAGTAACTAGAGACACGCCGACACAAAGTATCTGACAGGCTCAGTAATAGGGGAAAAACAAAATAAAGTATATTAAGTAGGTACAGACACGACGACACAAAGTATCTGATGGGCTCAGTAATAGGGGGAAAATAAAGTATATTAAGTAACTAGAGACACGCCGACACAAAGTATCTGATG